GCTACAGAATTAGACCCAGTCATGAATGTTGCTCATTTATAAGTAACAGGTTCACACACGAGAAGAACCCATTGTGGAGAACGAGCCCTAATCTCCCCAAAAGTTTGTCTGCTCGGTCATTTGAGGACGGTTGCAGGTTCAGAAAACATTTCGGGTTGGGAGGAAAAGCACAACAACGGGACGGCCGCTCACCAGAAGATCAGTGGTGATCAACACCCTGCTGGAGCCGGACCTGAACTCTCTCATAATGACGTCACGCTCCTTCTGGTCCATATCGCCGTGCTGTGGGGGGGCGGAGAAAGAACTTCAGAGTTTGGGACGGGCCGATGGCGACCGGGGGGGGGCAGGATGCAGAACGCCTTACCAGAGCCGAGACGGTGAAGTCTCTGGCGTGCATCTTCTCGGTCAACCAGTCCACTTTTCTCCTGGTGTTGAGGAAGATGACAGCCTGGGTTATGGTCAGGGTCTCGTACAGGTCACAGAGCGTGTCCAATTTCCACTCCTGGAGACGTCCAGAAAACGAGAACAAAAAAGGCATTTCAGTGCACTGTGAGCTTTAAGTGCGTTCCTGTAACCAAATATGTAACGAGTGTAACACAGGATCTTGAGACAATGGAGAGTGGACATTAAGAAAGAGGTCCCTCCTCGTCTCATTTACGACACTGTGCCTTTAATCTCCTTCCCTGGTGTACCCGTGCTTACACGGCCGCACGAGCCGAACCCGGAGGGCTCGGCTCCTGCAGTTTTAGCAGGGTGCTTTAAAGAGAAGGGAGCGCAAACTGAGCTTCGGTTTCTGACAGTTAATTATGTTCAAACCAACCTCTCTCTCCACATTTATGTAGAATTGCTTAATACCCTCGAGGGTAAGCTCCTCTTTCTTCACCAGAATGCGAATGGGCTCTCGCATGAACTTCTTGGTCACTTCCAACACGTCGGCTGGCATGGTGGCGGACAGCAGCACCACCTGGAGAAAAGTCCACAGGTTAGCCAAAGCCTAAAAAAGAAAGTGAGAGCCACCTGTTCCACGTGGAAAAACGTTCCACGTTGTCAGACGTGTAGCACTAAACCTCGAGACAGAGGCCAACGAACATTAAGAAAGAGGTTCGACCGAGTCTCATTGTCAGCCGAGTGCACAATGCTCTCCTTCAGCGCAACACACTGCTAGCATCATTGCGGGAAACAGAATCTGGATCACACAATTATAGCAGAGTTCTGTAGGAGCTGAAGGGTGTCGTGTCGAATCCGTTTCCCCGAATAGACAATCACCTGAATGTTTGTGCTCAGTTTCTGGAAGATCTCATAGATCTGATCCTTGAACCCTCGGCTCAACATCTCATCAGCTTCATCCAGAACAAACATTTTGATCCATTTGGGGGCTGCAGAGGAAGAAAATGGAATGAATTTCAAAGGCACTCGGTGGTTATGCTCTTCTCATCGTTCATTCAACGGGAATAAAAGACCACTTACACAGATGTCTCCGGTTCAGCATGTCATACACGCGGCCAGGCGTGCCCACCACTATGTGAGGGGCCTCAGCCTGAAGCTTCTGAATTTCACTACGGAGATTGGTGCCCCCGATGCAGGCGTGGCAAGTAGCCCCCATGTAGTCACCAAGAGCCAGAATTACCTTCTGGATCTGATGCGGGAAAGTGGCAGCAGGTCAGGATAAGGTACGGGTGCAGAAACAAGACACGTACTCAAGTGTGTAGAAGAACTGTTGCAGTGATCAGTAAAGCAAAAGGAACTCTCCATTTCATGAGTCAGTCCCGAAAGATGGTATGCCATCACATCACTCAGTTTTCCCACAAATGAATAGCAAACAGAAATGTCAAATCACCTCTTAGATCAATGCAGCCACGGATAGAGACTGCACCAATCTTAACAGGGTGCTCTCTATTTCAGAATTTTCAACAAAATTGGAAAAGATGGTACCTTAGGATCTGAACAGTGTCCTCAGTATGCTGCCTAGGTCTGAGACACTGTTGAGGTTATCATGACCTCAGAACAGCATACCTGCTGAGCCAGCTCTCTGGTAGGAGCCAAAACCAGAGCCTGAGTCTCTTTCTGCTCAATATCCAGTTGCTGCAAGATAGAGATGGCAAACGTGGCTGTCTTGCCAGTGCCTGACTGAGCCTGGGCAATGACATCATAGCCTAAGAGCAGAAAAACAATTAAAAACAAATTATACTTCCAGGACAAGACAAAAATGATTCTAAGTGGTACATTGAATATTTCCTGTTGGAGAAATTCAACAAGGATGAGTGATCAGTAAAGTTAAAAGATATCACCATTATAGGGTAAGTCCCGAAAGATGGTTGAGCATCATGTCACTCGCTTATCAAACAATTCACTGCCAAATATATTTACTGTACCTTTGATGCAAGGGATGATGGCCCTCTGCTGAATGGCAGATGGCTTCTCAAAACCATAAGCGTATATTCCCCTGAGAAGAGCCTCTTTCAGGTTCATATCATCAAAGTTGTCCGTAATCTCATTCCAGTTGCTCTGTAGAGAGAAAAAGAAACAAAAACTTTGATGAAAAAAACTGCTCGAATATCACAGGCCCCTAATATATAGACATCCATATTGTAATGGAATTTTGACTTGCATTTACCTCAATGACACCATCAGGCTCCATTCCATCTGGCCCCCCATGGTCTCTATCTCTTGAACTGTTAAGTAACGGAATGAATCAATTTTCTGCGACTGTCATTAAACTGAAATTGCAATTCAGAAAAGAGAAAAGTCTGCGCCATTAGCTTAACACTGCATACCTTAAATCTGGGAGTATTTTATCCAAGTTTTTTTGCTAGTTCCATTTTAAATATACACATGCTTCGAGGCAAAATGCGAATTTAGCCTGCTAATGCTCCTAGAAGCCTACGGTGTGGCTCTACGGTGACCGGGGTTACGCCCAGTGGATCCCCTTTCACAGCCGGGAGCTTCAGCGGGCGCACGTGTCAAATTGCACGAACCGGGCTCCACTACCTGCCCTCCCAAAATTTCCTCTTACATAACCTCAAAAGGCTGTATCACTCACCACATAGTTAGTCTCAACATGGATGCAACTGTATAAAGCTCAACATTTGAGTACCCACGTGGTTTCACAACATGGTGCTTCTGCCTCCCTCGCGGTTGGCCAATATGTCGGATAATTGGGCCTGTAAAACCAGCGGTGGCTTCTACCAAATAACTAGGCCGAGTTCCTGTGTGGGCCCATGAGTTTTTCGTTACAACTATCAAACATTGAACCCTAATGTTACCAAATAAAACACCGATAACCGCGTTTATGCTTCGCGTTCGTTATGACGAAACTGAAATATAAATTCAAAACAGGTTCTAACGGTTATTTGAATTTGCGGCATAGCTGCATTGCTAACCGCTAGCAACCGCATCTCCCCACTGTAGTTTGGGCGCCTAGCTAACAAGATAATGGCTAATACACTTTTGTGTGGTCTACTGAACGGTGTCACGCGTTTAATACAACCAAATATCGAGTACATGGCGAGAAAATGCCAAAGTATGCTATTTTACCTGTTGTAATCAGCAGACTCGCTAGACATGGTCCGTTCACAACTTCAGCATGCGACTGAAAAGATCGCTGGTGGCGTTGCCAAGTGCCTTTATGCAGCCGGACTATATTCGCTTATAAATATAATGCTGCCTTGAGTTGACAAAAAGGTTTCAGTTGAAAACAATATTATATGAATCACAATATTCATTTTGACAAAGGTTAAATATGAAAACACCTCTTCTATTTACTAATAAAAGCTTAAACTTTTCTCTACCTAGGTTTTTCAGCGGAAGGATATTGCAGTATTGGTTAGTGCATAGGCTACTACAGTGTCCCTGACAGGTCAAAAAAATGGTCAGACAACGTTGTGCAGGATTTTTGGGAGGGCTCGGGCGAGGCCTATGGATGTGGATTTAAATTAAAGTAAAAATATATATATGATTTTGAGCATAAGAACATCTTATAATTATTTCACATATGCACGTATTTCAATTACTTTGTTGCTGAAGCGTTTGGAATAAGGGATGCGAATATGTCCGTTTTATTCACTGGGTGATAGTTTTCCCTGTTCGAATTTATACTGTTTTAAATCACGTGGTAACACCATAGTAAGGTTATAAAGGGTAAAAGTGATCTGCGTTTTGCAAATGCAAATTCCCTCTTAAGGCAAGTGACAGATCTTCCATGTTCTCTTTCATGAAACTTGACAGCACTGAGAAAATTGCCCTGCGGATGGAAGTAGTTTTTAGTTGGGATCATGGGGTGTGCTTCTCTAAAAAAAAAACAACTGCAGTGCGGGATGTGGTGGACATCATTACTTACTTTCTCTAACCTTTTCTCTTTTTTCCCCTTTCAGTTTTTACTGCCTTATACTGGACCTGATAACTCTACTGTTTCTGTTAAACTTTATCACTTACATACTAGGCGGAGCTGCTGCTGATTGGATTTTGACCCCATAGACATATATGTTGATTGCCCCCTTTTCTGTGTGTCTTCTTGTTTTACCCAAACTTAAAAGCGATTTTGTCATATTAAAAACCTATTGTGTCATTGCCTGCCATTTGAGTTTTTATCCATGGTTGAAACTGAGCATCTGATCTCTGGCCCAGCAAGAACACTGGTCTGTGGATGAATCTGAATAATCCAATAGTATGAGTAAGCATATTTTGGGGTACTTCTCCTGCCTAAACAAGTGGTTTGTTTTTGCCTATGGATGTGCAATACCACTGTATCACAAAGACTAACTTTTTCTTCACTGTGAAATTTGCTCAGTGTTTTAATCAATTCATATGAGCAACTTTATGTCCTGAATTGTGTTAATGATTTGAACCCACTCATTGGTAAAGATTCCCCTTCCACAAGTTGAAAAAGGCAGAATTGGATAACTTTTGCCTTTATTAAAGCTATACAGTGCAAAGTGAACACAGAGTTAGAAAACATTAAAAGTATGTTCAATTTTCATTTGGAGTGTAAAAAATCTATTTGTTTAATGCACAATGGTATAGTAGTTGGAGAAGAGTTCCTCCCCAGCAGCAATATCTCTGAGAGAAACCAGGACAACACACCGCATGGGCCTCTGTGTGTCCAGGCTGTAGTTGACATTAGGGAGATACTGGCGGAGCTCAATGGGGAAGCTCTTTGGCACATCGTACTCCTGATAACAGACATTGGCAGGCCTGTCGTTGGAGCAGTTGTTGATATACTGACCGATGGCCAGCGGGTTTTGTGGACTGTCTGTCAGCCAGCTGGTGTCACTCGTCAAGTAAGGACCCATTCTGTCTCGGCCACTGCATGACCTGAACACCATTTTAGAGATGCCTTTGTCGTTCCCATCAATCAAGACACCATCAATACACCTGAATACAAAGGGGTTTCTGATGGACTGAAGGAGGATAGGCTCATAGGGTTGATAGACCGTGCCGGGGTACATGGCCACAGTGGCTCCTTTGGGGACAAACCCCTTGGTGACAAAAACCCCAGTTCCTGCAAAGGGTAAAGTACTAGGCTTCCGGTCAATGCAGAAGCCCATAGATTGTAACATAGCGTCGTCCCCACTAACTGCGTGTCCTTCACAGTGTGCCTGTTGACTTGCAGTCCGTCGAAAAAGGTGCGCCTGAGCCACCCAGACGCTCCCATGACTCCCGAGCAGAACCCTGAAGAGTTTCAACAGGCTCTGTGAAACCTGCTCATCCGGGATCAGTTTGTCTTCCGAGCGCTCCTTCACCTTCCGCAGGGTCTGCTCATTTTTTGACAGGTTGAACACGACCCAAGGCATAAACCTGTGCCTGTAAGACCTCCATTTCTTCTGAAATCGCTTGAGAGCCGCTGTAAACATCCAGAAATACGTGCGACAACCCGGCTGCAGATTAGTTTACTTTCATCTATTCTCCAGCCACTTCCGGCATGTTACTTAAAAAATAATGGGAAACGTGTTAAGACTATAGAAGTTGTTACGATAACCCGTCTTATTGACACACAATAACGGAACACAATATTGTCACAAGTCAAAATGAATGTAATAATGTTACACTTTGGGGAAATGCTTGACTGTTCGGTTTGCGTTACACTATTATTTTTGGAGAGAAATGTGTACACCGGAAATGGCTCTTTACGTTACATGTGAAAGCTTAACCCGCTTTAGCTAGCTGGATGGGAGGAGAGGGAGTCAAGCCAGGACAAACATGGTATGAAATGACCCTTTCTATTCTTGTTTCTAGGCGAAAGAAACTGCTAGTCTGTATGTTTAAGAACTGTCAGTATAGAGTAGTTAATGTGGCTTGGAAATTATTAAAACCGACTGAGGTTAGCCTCAAATAATGAATGCAAACGCAACCCTCTCGTTAGCGTTAGGTAACTAGCTCACCGCGAGCTAACTGACTCGCTTAGTTAGCGTGCTAAGCTCGCTAGTCCTCAACTGACAAACAAAATAGCATACTTTGAAGCAACAGCAGCTTTGTGCCAGAGTGGGCAGGCTCTCGTTTCTAGTTTTACTTCCTCATGCTAAGATTCCAGCTCACTGCCATTCAACACATTGCAGCAGTCTTGTTACCACTATCAGTTTTAGTATTTTCCTTTTAAAAAAAAAACAATGTTTGTAAAGCGAAAAACTAGCCTGCTATTTGTATGTATCGTGTAAAACGTTACAAGCAAAATCACAGACGCAAGCTTTTGATGTTTTAGCTATCAAATCGTGACAAACGTGTGAATTACTAATTCGGAGAAAAGAAGTGTGTAATACTACTGGTTCTCCAACATCTGTGTGGAATTGATGCGGTGTGTGTGTATTGTGTTGATGTAGAACAAGCTGAAGTCCTCTCAGAAGGATAAAGTTCGTCAGTTTGTGATTTTCACACAATCAAACGAGAAGACCGCAGTGGCTTGCCTGTCTCAAAATGACTGGAAACTAGACGTTGCCACGGACAAGTTTTTCCAAAATCCAGAGCTTTATGCTTCGAATCTGAAGGGGGCCTTGGACAAGAGGAAGCTTGAGCAGCTGTACAGCAGATACAGAGGTATGGGAGAAACACCACTGCAGTGGTCAGTTAGACTGAGTGGAGAAACAAATGATACCATACATGCTATTGGTTTAATTTTTGATTTAGCTGTTGATATATGTTTCGAAAAATGTTGTGCTCCTCCGCTCAGATCCTCACGATGACAACAAAATAGGCATCGATGGGATCCAGCAGTTCTGTGACGACCTGAGTCTGGACCCTGCCAGTATAAGTGTCCTTCTCATTGCCTGGAAGTTCAGGGCAGCAACGCAGTGCGAGTTTTCAAAACAAGAGTTTATGGATGGCATGTCGGACCAGGGGTAAGAATATTTTTTTGAATTGCTGGGGAAAAAAAGCTGCTATAATGGTTTCTAGCTGAAAAGAAAGTGAAATCATCTGAAATTATGTCATAAATGAGCTATGTTTGAAGCCTGTTATTGGTGAGGGGTGGTTGGGTTTGTTCCTGCAAGCAAAGAAGAATATTTTTATGTGTTGTTGGATCGTTTGTGCACCCGAAACCTTCACACATGCACATAAACAATAAATAAGTCTCTTACCCACCAGCAGTAAAGTTTCTTGGCACAATGGGCGAATGGTTAACACATATTGACATATTTCTCTGTCTGTTCCGATTTGGCTGTTTGAGTGAAAAAATGTCCATTGTTGACTGAGAGATTAGCGGGATTGATATCCAGCAAGACGTCTCAGAAAATATGTAATTGGTGGGTTTGCACTATCTGCAATTTGAAAATGACGCTTCATAACACATTTTGCACAGTCAAGTTTTTTTTTTTTACAACTCCTTAGAAAAGGGTTTGGAAACCACTCCTCCACACCGATTTGTTACCCACTTGTATATGTAACGCGTTATCACAAAAAAGACTTCTTTTTGTCTCAGGTGTGACAGCATAGAGAAGCTAAAAGCTCAGCTGCCAAAGATGGAGCAAGAGTTAAAGGACCAAGGGAAATTTAAGGACTTTTACCAGTTTACATTTAATTTTGCCAAGAATCCTGGCCAGAAAGGCTTGGGTAAGCATATGCCCATATCTATTGTAGCCCGTGTCAGCATTTAGGTTTCCCTGTGCGTTCACATCAGCCTTCTTCTGGTGCTCCTACAGATCTGGACATGGCAATCGCATATTGGAATTTAGTACTGGCTGGAAGATTCAAGTTCTTGGACTTGTGGAACAAATTTTTAGTTGTAAGTTGACAGTCACATTTTCAACAGCCTCAATCGATCAGCCTGTCTTTCTGTGTGTGTATATATATATATATATTTCTGTATATACATATGTATTATTTTACAGGAACATCACAAAAGATCTATTCCGAAGGACACTTGGAATCTCTTACTTGACTTCAGCACAATGATCACGGACGACATGTCAAATTATGACGAGGAAGGTTTGTAAAGTTTCTCTTTCCTCTTTCGTGTCCCCCCTTTTTCTTTTCTACAGCAATTTAACATGTTCTCTCCTCTCGAACAGGGGCATGGCCCGTCCTTATTGATGACTTTGTGGAGTTTGCACGGCCGCACATCGGGACCAAAAGTACGGCGGTTTGAGGGCTGGTTTTCCACATCCGAGGTTTCTACCATCAGGACGGCAGTAAATGGAGGACAAGTGAACCGCACTGAGCTGAGAACTCCGTTGCCTTTTCAACACTCAGGACTGAAATATTTTACACTTCAGAGACTTTATAAAGATGTGTCTGTTTGTACACACACATAAAAGGCATATTTCTTTGCTGGTCAGCTCGTGGCTGTATCAGAACTTTCATCTATAAAGTATTGAGCTTCTGTGCACTCAAGCCAACTGGAGAGGATTTAACATCATGGCCCATGTCGTTCCCAGATGTGGTTGGGTGCGAAGACGGGTAGTTCCACACGCCTAAATTGTTACGAAAACTCAAGAGTTTGCAAAGGGTTATTCTTTAAATATTGAATTTTATTACTGGTGTGCATTCTTAATTTCATTTTTTTTGTTTTATGATACATTTGTGTGACAAGTCAGTATAAAACATTGATTGTAATTTTTTAGAATCACGATGCTGTGCGAACACAAATGTATGGAGATAAAAATAAATGTTTCAATTCAATGTCTTTAACCAAACTTCTGTGCAGTTTGGGCTGATAAAGAACATAAACAAGGTCATGTATCAAAAGTAATTGGACAGTTGACTCAAAGGCTATTTTATGAGCAGGTGTGGACAATTAATTCGCTATGTCTTTATCAATTATGCAGATAAAATAAGATATGTGACACGGAACAGAAGCAGTCAAATGAATTTGGAGATTTTCAGACATGTGTCTGCTCAAATTAGCTTCGTGGAGTCAAACTGACAGGCAGCATTTCATAAACCAGATAGAAAATGACTTCAAACACAGCCATGGCAACCCAGGAGTTTTATAAAGGAGAAAAGTTGAATATTCTTGAAAAGCCAAGTCAGTTGAGTCAGTCAGTCGCTTATCTGAACTTGGTTGAACGTGCATTAACAAACAGCAACTGAAAGCAGCTACAGTAAAAGCCTGGCAGAGTATTAAAAAGGAGAAAACACAGCATCTGGTCACGCGCATGAGTTCAAGACCTCAGGAAGTCCTTTTGAGCAAAAGGAATCACTATGCACACTTGCACACACTCCTCTGGCCAATTTAAAATAATTAAGTAAACAAAATTGTACATGAATTTTGACAGCTGGAAGAATCTGGAGTCCCTTGGAGAGAACATACCGCTCAGAAAACAGTAGAGAAATAATTCTGTATGTCTTTAGACAGTTAACCTTCTTGTGGTTAAACAACTCTAAGCATGTTCAATCAAATGAAATGACCAAACTGCAGGGCACAATTTCCTATTTCAATTAATTGTGTTCTTTTCAGCTATTTAAAATATTTGACTCACTATTTATACATTTCATTGAACTTTCCAGTTGTTGGAAAATGCACTGGTTCTTTTAAATGCGCATAGATCAATTTTAAATCAATATCTGAAACACCTGACGTAAAGTTATATCTATTTTTTTGTCACCGTGGCACCCCTCGACCCAGGCACGAGCCTTCTGGCCCCTCTCTCTCGCGCGACACCCTGCGGTACTATCATTTATGAACACGTGTGCTTGTTGCTACGGGTAACCGGCAACAGAACACAGTAACTTACCAGAGAGGGGTGACTAAAATCCCACTTGTCAGACTGGAAACAGATATCAGCTTCTGCCATTGTTTTTCAGTTGATGTATATTTTGCCCTACCGCTGAAAATGTCGAGCTTTATCGATAAGGCCTTATTCGATATGGGCTGGGATAAGCGGTTCGCCATCCCAGAGCTCAACGCCGAAAACCGTGCTCTTCTCCAACAGGTATGATTGTGGGACAGAACCTGCGACGTAGTTGGTTTTGACTGTGATAAGAAAACGTATTTCTTTATGCTTAGAAAACGTATTTCTTATCACGTCGTTTTCCTCAATGACATAAGTCTCATAAGAGTGGGGAAATGATACCTGAACGGTCACGTGACGAGGATTTTTTGTAAGATTTACGTCAAAACAGTTTCTGAGCCACAATGGATAAAAAATAAGAAACGCATACGCGAATAACGACTTTAATTCAGCATGTAACAGCAATTCGTAGAAGCACAAAGGCTGAAAAAGGACCCATTTTCGCTTTAAAGGCAACAGACCGACAGCTTTTTGTGCATGAATTTAACTATTTTCCCTAAGTTTTCTTTTTGCTTTGTAAAACGCCAGAAAAAGGGCCACTGTTAGCTCCTTTAAACGTTGGGGGCTCTGCCCCAGCTCATAAAATTGAATAGGTTAAATTAGTTTATTTAAGGGTGGAATGAATGATGAAATTATGTGTTATAACATTATTCTGCTTAGAATACTTTTAATGACGCGAAAATAAATTCTCTTAGTTTTTTCATCGTTAGCCACTTAAATGAAAATGTAAAAACAAGAGCTTAGACAATACTGGGAGGCATCTGTTTTTATAACTCTCTCGCTATATATATATTTTTTCTATCCCACTTATACAATATAAGCACAAAATATAAATATTCCAAAAAATCTTGTAGTTGGTTGGACCTATTTGGAAAATTCTGACCACTCCCCTTATGGTCCTGGACCAATATCCACACAAACACAACTGCACAACCCCTCCCACAAGACATGAACTTAGTGGAAGGTATGATATGCAGATTTACATTTAATATTTTTATGTTCCCTATTAATTTGAGTTCTTAGTTTTTTGTAGAGAACAAGTAGAAGTATTTGGGGAATTTTGATGACGGAAGTATTTTGATGACAAGTATTTTGATGACAGAAGTATTTTGATGACAGAAGTATTTTGATGATAGAAGTATTTTGATGACGTTCCAGTATTTTAGTTGAAAACGATTCTGCAGATCATGTGTCATATAAGCTTTGCTTGTAATATGACGATTGTCTCAACAGGTTCATGAACAAGAGATGGAGCTGATGCAAGTGAACAACCGACTCGAGGGTGCCAGGAACAAAAAGAAAGACATGGCAGAGTGGCTGAAAAATGCCAAACAAGAGCTGGAAAATTCAGAGGTAAGAAGAATGTTTGAACATGGTGTTTTTTACTATTGTGCCTGTCAGGTGTTCTGATTTCAGGCTGTTTTCATATTCCAAATTCACAGTCTCTGAGCTTATGTGCCTTGTGACTTCCATGCAGGCACTGTTGAAGGCAAAGGAAAGAGATTTAGATCTGGAGAAACATTTGACAGCCCTTGCAGAAAGAGACTCGGGTCGCCTGACTCAGCAAACAGCCAAGACTGAAAACGAGCTCCGGTCATCTGAAGAGCGTAAAGACATGATAGAGGTTAATCCTTTAGATATGATGTATTAAAAAAAAAGGAAAAAGAAAAGCAGCTTTGGCTGTTGGAGCCTGTTTGTGCCTCTCCTTAACTCTCGTGCTTGTTTTCAGAGCAAGCTGTTCAAAGCCAAACAAAAGCTTGAGGAGTTTCGGCATCAGATGAACTGGGACCAGCAGACCATGGAAGCCTTTTTGGAGGAGTCATCACAGAAAGACGAGGACACGATGGCCATCACTAAGTACGCTCAACAAGATGAGCAGAAGATCAAGGTAAAGAGATTAAAATAAAACAAAAAACTGCTTCTCTTGTGAGATGTTTGACTTTTATGGCTATTTAAAAAGTCTGACTCGTCATTTAATGTTCTTCTCATCTGTCCTGGTGCAGTCACTCACTGTGAATATTGAGAAGAAGACACTGGAGGCCCATGAAAAGCGCAAAGCACTTGACAAAGAGTTGACTGAAACTATATCTGCACAGGTAATGAGAGACAACACAGGGCTAGACCACTTTACACTATATATTTTAAGAAAAACGTTTATCTGTGTCCAAAATGTGACTGTTTGATGATATAAGGAGGCAAGGCATTTTTACTATTGTAAAAAATGACATCAGGGAAATATTAGAGTATGAGAGTAAACCCAACATGACCGAGGTAGTGTGTGGTTACCCCAGTCTCCTATACTATTGACAGTCTATGTTGCATTTTATTCAGCAGAAATGGGACAAAAGGAGAGGTCTTAATATCTAGGACCCAGGTTCAGGCCAGTAAGATACAGGGGAAGGGGACAAAGAACTTGAAATTAATTAATGAACAGAAAGCATTGGAATACCAGAGGCAAAACATTAGACAAATCGAGAGAAAAAACTCCCAAAGAAACAAAGTGAACCTGAAAGAGTATGTGAATACAGGAGAATGATTTGTGGAATGAAACACATAACGACAGGAATCAATGGTGATTGGAGTTGAGTTATTGAAGAGGGCGACCTGACTAGAGACACGGGAAAGGAGGAACGTAAACCAAAATAAAACAGGAAACTGAGATTTCAACATCAAGTTCTCATTCAGTGCTTTATGATGACAGTTGTAACTTTGTCACCAAAGAAGGAGGAGTGGTTCTCTCAGTGTCTATGAGGGTTCTGTATGGCTTTCTCCATCCAAAACTTGAATTTAAGGTAATTCTTTAGGTAACTGTTTTCAAAATGGACCCCAAAAGAGAAAGTGAGTGTTGGACAGTTTGTGATGGACAGGGTGTACTCCGTCTCTGGTCCAGTAACAGCCAGAATAGGATCCAGCACCCTGCAATCCTAAACTAAAGGGTACACAAATGGATTAGATGATGGAGGTCTTATTATACTGGAAATGCACAGTATAATGCACCAGACTTCCATCACATGGTACAAAAAATAGACCATCATGCACTGTGCACATGTGCTCTGCTGTCAGGTGCTACTAAAGAAACCACTAATGGTAGCTTCCACTTGATGGCGCTAACGTTCAGTTAATTTCACTTCACCTGTTATTCATTGTCTATACGTTTAAGAAGGGTTGTAGTAGGGTGGTGGGGGACTGAAGCCTATCTCAGCTCTTATTGGGAGAGAGGCAAGGTACACCCCGGACAGTCAATTTAATTAAATTCAATTAAAAAAAAAACTACATTTGTAGCCAAGGAGCTATCTTAGTTCTAAGCTCAAAATTGTGATTTTCTGCATTGCATTTCTCCTTTTTTGCCATAGAACCGAAACTTGAACATTTGTTTGTTAAGCATGTACAGCAGTCATGTATAAAACTTGCACTTTTTTCCTTTCTTACTAACAGTTCTTATACTTTGATAAGTATGAATACCAAATTCGAGGAAAAATTATTTTCGTGTCTGGCAATTTGTGCTTCTTTGTTAACCTTTGTTGCCCAAACAGATAGCTTTGGATAAGACCGCGGAGAGTTTGCACCAGGCTAACGTGGAGACACAGCAGCTCATCCAGCAGTTTGAAAACAGCATCAGGCAGATGAAGCAACAGGATGCTGAGCTGCAGCAGTGTGCGCTGGTAACGTGTGGCTCCAACTGACATGAGCCTGACAATATTTTTGAGTTTGGTTACACGCTAAAAGCACGCATGATCAACACCCGATCACGCATGATCTATCATTCCAGCAAGTTGCCCAGGGTAACCAGAGCATCAGAGAGAGGAATACCACCATTGCAGAGAAAAAGCATTTACTGGATATCATGAGGAACAACAACAGGGAAACGGAGCGGAAAATAACCATAACGAACAAAAAGGCAGCAAAAATGCGGCAGGTTCTGAAGGAACAGGAGAATCAGTGCATCAGGCTGCAGAGTGAGGTCAGCTTTTCAAAGTGTCCTGCACGCGTACTCTGGGAGTCTTTGGTCGTATTTTTTAAGCGGCTGATCTGAATGTGCCCCGCAGCTGGACGGCCGCAAATGCTCACTGGACAGAACGACCTCTGAGGTGGAGTCTTTGACAGCCCAAATATCCAGAATGAAGAAAGATCTTCAGGACAACAATGAGAAGTCAGTAAAATAATTAATTGACTCATTACACCAGCACATTTCTGTACAGAAGCGACTGCATTAGTGCTTTTGGAAAACAATTTCTGGGTGTATGCATGTGTGCATTTTAGACTGAAAGAGGCCAGGGCCTACAATAACGCACTGGAGGAGAAGCTGAACCTTGTGACCCAGACTGCCCTCAGCGAGAAGGAGACGGCAGCTCAGATGGAACAGATCCTCAAGGAGGAGGAGCTGGCGATCAAGGTAACGTTGGTTTTTCCACTCTGACATGTTACTTTCAGACATCAGAGACCAGTAAAATCAATTCTATTAACATTTTCTGCTACCAGAACCTAGATGAGCATGGTCATTTTCAAGAGGATTGGGCTTTGGTGCTGCTTTAGTACTTTAATAATTTCCCTCTGGGATTATCAAAGTATTTCTGATTCTGATTCTGTGTAACCCTGTGCTTTTGCCCTCTGCTAAAGGAGTTGAATGCTCGAATGGGTGACCTCATAGAGGAGCTGAGTCGTCAGAAAGACCATCTGCAGGCTGTCAAAAGGAAAGAGAGGGATTATGTTGCACAGGTTTCAAGGAGCAAAACCACCATAGCTTGCCTGGAGAGGCAGCACAGAAAACTGGACAAAGAGCTCACTAGACAGATGAGTACCATGAATAAGCAGGCAAGACTGAAAAGGACTGCACACACATACGGGACATTTTATGTTTAAGCTGTCTGGATTCCATCAATCAATCAATCAGTCAATCAATCATCAACCTGTTCAACACAGATCCATGAAATAAAATATTGATATGTTTTATTTCACCCACTTTCATTTTGTAGGACATCGAGATCACAATGCTGAAGAGAAAACTTGCTCGCCTGCAAGGCAACGTTGACTCAGATGAAAAAGAAATTTTAGACACTAAGATTGCCGAAATGACCAAAGATTTGGAGGACAAGAAAAGGACGGCCAGAACTCTTGGCGGCTCGCTCAAAGAGTGTGAGGTGGGACAGAAACCTCCTCACACTCATTCTGTTTTTTCCTCCCTCCTTATTCAGCCAGTAAAAAATCATCCACGTCACATTCTGGTTGCCTGTCTCTGTTCAGGATGACATTCGCTGTTTAAGGAAAGAGGTTAGAAAGTCCGAGGCTCAGAAGAGAGATCTGACGGATAAGGTTGAGGAGCTGATGCTCCTCTGCAACACCAGCGAGAAGGAACTGAAGAGATTCAAACTAAAGAAAGAGGTAACAAATGTAAAAAAAAAACTCCACATTTACAAATTAAGCACTGTTTTTATTTTGGTCATAAAAAAGTGAAGATGAGAAGATAGTCCGTTATTTAGAATGCGTCCAAAGGAAAGGAGTTCAAGGACTATAGGTTCGTTCCAAACTACATCAGAAGCAGTCACTTCTGGAATTTTTTTTTTTCTTTAGCTTTGGTTTTACTGTGAGAAATCCTCCCTGCTTTACAAAAGCCAACTCTCCGTCATTATAGAGTGATGAAGGGAACTAATGACACAAAAGATGACAGAAACAACCGGAGACTAGAATAAAACAAAACCCAGATACCAAATAACAAACCAAAAGTCCATAGATTAAAGAACAAAATGAAAGTATGACGATAAACAAATGACTATTCAAAGAGCAATCTGCATATATCATTGAAAATTAATACATGAAAGCTCAAGGCAAAGTCACAAAACCCAGAACCAAAGACAACTACCTTTTATTTATTCATTCATGAGACCAAAGTATTTATTATTATTATTGTTCGTTAATTTTGGCCACATGGGGGGCCCTTAGAGCTATTACAACAAATTAAACATAAAAGGAAGTTTGCTGAAGCACAATGAAATGAAAATGAAGCTTTCACACGTGAGAACCGTGGGCTAGTCGGAGAATGCGTGCATTTGTTTTTCCCGATCTCTTCCAGGACAACATGGTGGAGCACAAAATGATCAAGCTAGGCGTCAAGCGCGTGAGGGACATGCTGTACAACAAGGCCGACTGCGTGCTGTCCTTAGAGAAGAGGAAGCTGGAGCTGCACAGAGCCATGAAAGAGAAGGAGGAGGAGATCGAGGAATACATCAAAATCGTCAGCCAGCAGCTCAAAATAAGCGAACAGGAGAGGCAGAAGCTCAGGTGAGAAAAACCGGCCTCACGCGCTGCTATTATTCACGTCTGACGTCAGCTTTCGTCGTCTTAACGAGCGATTGTCCCGCAGCGCTGGACTCAACGAGAAGCTAACCAAGGTCAACAAGATGAGGAAGCATTTCGAGGTTATGGAGCTCTCAATGGCCCCGCCTGAGGGGGAAGAGGAGAAGTCACAGGCCTATTACATCACAAAGGTGAGAGGTCCTCACACACGCCGCCGCGGCCCCTGCACAGCCGGCCGGCCTCACGCGCATCCCCGTGCGTCTCAACAGGCTGCGCAAGAGAAAGAGGAGCTCAGGCAGAAGGGGGATGAGCTGGACGCCAAGATCCGCAAGATGGAGCTGGAAACCAAAGCTCTGGAGAACACCATCCGGCTGTTCGACAGCCGCAGCGCGGCGTTCCGCCAGTCCCTCAGCAAAGTGGATAAGTCCAGTGTGTACGGCGGCGGAACAGGCCCTTTTCCCAAAAAGCCGCGTTGTTTTACGGCTGTCCCCCTCCGGGGTTGTTTTCAGGTCCAGAGTACCAGGAGAACCTGAAGCTGGAGGAGCAGCTGAGGGCGACGGAAGAGACGCTGAAATACAAAAAACATCAGGTCCAGGAGCTTCAGCTGGACCTGCAGGTTATAGCAGTTCTCCGGACATGAAACAAAACCACTACTGAAGTTACTTTTAAGTCGTAAAGGTGCATTCTACCTTTTCCCCCAACAACTACCGGCATTATTATCAACAGAAAAATAATCCTGGGAGTTTTTAAAAATACAAACAGCATATTTTCATGCTGCTGAAAGAAGACACCAGAACCATAGTATTGTAAAAGTCTTTGCAGTGTCAAAAGCCAGGGGACAAACACACACCCAGACACACACAGTTGGAGCAGTTTCCAACTCTTCATCCCTCGGCCCAACTCTCACACTGATCTTGAGTGCAGCTCTGGGTACGTGCCCTTCTTTTGGTGTCCTATGTGTTACGTGTCATTTCCAGGACATGAACAATACCCTGGAGAGTCTGCTTCAAGAAAAGCAGGAGGAGAAAGATAAGATCGCTCACCAACAATCGCTCATCGGAAAACTAAACAAAGAAGTCACCAGCCTGCAAGAGAAAATAGACCGAGCCACAAAACAGGTGCGATGTGCAATTCTGTCCCCCCCCCCCTTCAAACTGGTTCTGCTGATCATGTTGTGTGCGGGTATTTGTGCCGCTGTTTTTTTGCAGTGCTCCACCTTAATCAAAGAGATCCGCTCAGCAAAGAGCACCAGAGAAGAGACGCTTGAGGAGAAGGACATTAGGCTAAAGGAGGTGAACGAATTCAGCAAGAGTTTGGACCGGATGCTCAGTGAGGCGATGGAGGAAGATCCAGGCCTCAGAGCAGTGCTGGAGAATTACTACCAGCAGGTAAACAGAAAAACACCAAAAGTCACTGTGTTTTTAGAAGATGGTTAATGGAGCGTGCAGTCGGTACAGGTCACCGTTGTAGCTTTGAACACTCCCGCCCCCCCCTGTCCCTCTCAGGCCGGCCTGACCCTTCCAGCTCCTCCTTCCGCTCCCTCCAGCCGCCGCAGCTCTGCCACAAACTCCCCCGCGAGCTCCTCTTCTCTCAGGTCAGTCCCCAGGGGCTCCTAACGCTTTTGATTGAGCCTTTGCAGTTGGCCTTACTGCAAAAGCCATCACAAAGACGGTCTTTATCCCGCACTGCTCTGTAGGGCTCCGTTGTCCTCAGCCAGCAGCAGCCCCAGAAGCTCCGGGCTTCCCTCTCCCTCCATGAACACGGTGGTTCTGGGTCTGGAGCTGCCTTTGGCGTCGCCACCTCTCACCACCTCCAGATGCTCAGGAAGCAGCGGAAGCAGCAGGAGCAGCAGAGGCAGCGAAAAGTCAAAGAACCTTTAGTGCTCCGTTCCTCCGATGGTTGATTTGATTTCTTTACTCAGAGAGATAATATGATTACATACTTAAGTTTTTTTTTCTTTTGTTGTTCTAAGAATGCAACTTACAGAAATCTCAATAAAAAAGATTTTGTTTGCATGTGTCATTTGATTTGTGGACTTTAATGGAGTTTAAGAGCAACTCTTAACTTTCATGCCATAACTGATTAATATGTCATTTAAAAAGAGAATCGTAAATTCCTCTTCGGGAAGCATTGACCCCTGGGAATAAGTGTGCCTGTACATTCTCAGTGAACAGTATCATGGACTTTGAAATCAAAGTTTCCTTTCACTTGAACTCTTTATTTATAATTATTTTTGCCTTGTTCTAAATCCGGGCAAGGACCAGGAAGTTTTTTATCCCTGGAGCAGCCTGGAGAAGCTCTTCCTCAAAGCTTTAAGGATGGAGGTGGTTTTTCCTGCACTGGGCGTTTTTCTTTTGCTGTCTCCTGCAGAAGGAGGTTGGTCCCTTTGCTCCCAGAGCCTCAGCGTAGCTTCCTGAGAGCTTCTCCAGCTCTTTTCTGAGTGCCTCCGCTCGGCCCACGTGGTTTCTGCCACCAGCTGCTTCACCTCCTCCTGGCGGGCTGTGATGTTCTCCACAATTTTCTCCAGGGCGCTGGGAATCTTGTTCATAATTCTTCTCTCTTCAGCTTCTCGACTTAAACGTCTGCCAGCGTCTCAGCCGTCTGGATCACCTCGGCCAGTTTCCTCCTGCACTCACAAAAGTAACTCTTTGAAAGAACTTTAAAAAATCATGGAACGTATTTCCACTTGATTAAATGGTTGTTTTTCAGCATTAACTATATTGTGTTAGTCCAACTTGATGCACTCTCATGGGTTCAACTTCATTTATAAGGGTTGATTGAACTTATTTACTAGGTTTAGATCCAACTCAATCTAATTTTGTTGGGTCAATTAATAGATAAGTGTTGATTTACCTTGTTTCATAGGGCTAAGACCGACTAAATATAATAGTATTGGACCCACTCACTGGACAGTAGTAAAATGACACCAGTATATTAAGTTCATCCAACCAAAATAAACTGAGTTGTCCTAAAAGAATCGCTTAATACTAAAAAAAAAGCATTTAATCACACGGAAATGCTTACCATGATTTAAATCAGATCATTCAAAAAACACAATTTGAGTGTTACTATAATACTTTAAGGTTTGCAGTGAAAAACTGAAACTAAGTTTCAACAAAGTCTACAGACTGCTTTGTGTCAAGGGTAGAAAGAACCATAGCACAAATGGTAGATATTGATATAAATTCATATTTTCCAAACTTGTCAATGACTAACATTGCACTGGTAGTAACACAAGTGGAATGACAGTGCAACAATGCTTTCCACAAGCAACAACATTTCTGGCATACTGGTAAACACAGCACACTCCTTTCAGTTATTTTTGAAAGTGCCAAGGGAATGAATCACAGTACTTAATTAAAATAAAAAGTTTACTAAATGGATGTAAGATTATCTGAACTCCATCATAGTTTGGGGGTTGGATCACATCTTTGCAGTAACATTCCCCTTTAAATGTTTCTCTTTCCCCAAAACATTTGCACAACACAATTAAATCGTGACCATTCACAGAAACTACTCTCAAAGTTCATAGCCTGCTTAGTGTCGATGGTAGAAACATAAGAAACAGGTCGATGTTACCATAAAGATGTTTTTCTACAAATAGGCAATAACAGTGCCATTGTGTTATTTTTAATAACTGGTAAAATAATATATCACAATGATTGCCCTGATTTATTAAAGTGCCAAGACAAGCCATCAAAAAATGCTTTAAAATGATTGTAAGATGATCCGAACTCCATGGTACTGTTAACACAAAGATACAGTTTTTTGATTTTCTGAAAAAACTGGTAAAATAACTAAAAATTGGACAATGCCTCCGCAGTCACATCCCCATTTGCACTTATTAAGTGTTGAACCTGTATGTGCTGGTGAACTCACAGAAACACAGGCTAACAAAAAAGCATGTCCAGGACCAGCATAAAGGATAAAAGTCAAAATAATAAAAATTATGTGACATATAAATGTGAACTGATCAAAGTAAAACTGATAGATGATAACATTCAAAATGATCATATGTAGTGTAAACGAGAAATGGTGAAGTCAGAACTGATAAATGATCCATCCATCCATCCATTATCAATACCGCTTATTCCCTCATGGGGTCGCGGGGGGAACTGGAGCCTATCCCAGTGGTCAACGGGCAAGAGGCAGGGTACACCCTGGACGGTCCGCCAGTCCATCGCAGGGCAACACACAGGACATACAACCACTCACACTCACATTCACTCCTAAGGGCAATTTCCCCAATCTCCAATCAGCCTAACATGCAGGTTTTTGGACTGTGGGAGGAAGCCAGAGAACCCGGAGAGAACCCACGCAGACACAGGGAGAACATGCAAACTCCACCCAGAAAGGTCCTGGTTCCCCCGGGATTCGAACCCAGAACCCTCTTGCTGGGAGGCGACAGTGCTAACCACCACACCACCGTGCCGCCCCTAAATGATAATATAAGAAATAAAAACTGATAAATGATACAAACCGACACTGATAATGACAATACTCAAAAAGATATATGATAATATGAAATAGACAGGATCAATGATAAAAGCCCAAACATAAATGCAAAACATTTCACATCAGGAGTAGTCATCATGTTTTACCACCAGTATAAACATGATGACTTAACCGTTGTATGAAAATCAGACAGGCAAACTGCTCGGTCAGGGTGTGCATAGCCAACACAGAAAGCTTAAATTCTGTTTACCTCCGAAGAAAACCTTTTGTTTATTACATCACGCATAAATAAAAAAGCCTACTTGACTTTCGTTATGCTTTTCTGGTAAGTTTGTGTGTTTATCTTCAACTACAACTTTTTGTTTATCATATCACGCATAACTAAAGTAGCCAAGTAGACTTCCTGTACGTTATTCTCTTAAATTTGTGCTAAACGTATGTTAGACAAGCATACGCGTTTGCAAATCTGACGTCTTGCGCATGCGTATTGACTACGCGTATGCTGAATTGACAGAACACCGGGGTTTGTCGCGCGCACGAGCCTTACTCGCAACCTAAAAAATAAATCCAAGCAAGTTTTTGTAATTTAAGGAGATAGGCCTGCCTTTAAATGACACAAACTGAAAAACTTATAGGCCAAGTTGGATGGCCTACATCACTTCACAACCCCGCATACACACTGTATTTAGTCAAATAACAATAAAATAGAAACTATCATTGTGACCAAATATTGCTGAAAATGATGGGCTAACATTTATGCATAGTATTTTGTTTAAATTTAAATGGACTATAACATTACTGCTAACCTTTTCCATGTGCGCGCCAAAAAACGATGAGGACTTTTTTCTTTCAAATTCCCCTTGCATGAAGTGTCGCGATGGCATTGTCTTCTCGCGCGATGTCCCTTTACATTTCCCGCCTACCAACAGAAACGCCGTTGCCTCACTTCAAGCACCATAAATTATGAGGGTGCGTTTGTAAGATGGCTGTGCTGAAAATTTCATCTACATTTTGTCTAATTTAGCTTAAAAGACCATGATTTAATCATGTTCACCTCTGAAACATGAAATTGTAGTTTACATAACACATGTTACACTTTAGTTAATGTAACAGCCCACCATGTTCCTTTTTTTTTTAGTGTGTTCCACATTGGGTGACCATATTTTGATTTCCAAAAAGGAGAACACTGCTGTTAGCCCGATTCTTTAGTTGGAAACCTGAGAATAAACCAGAGTCGATCAAGAGTAAAAAGTTGACATTTATTGGGTCACAGGTAAAGTATTTCAGCGCTGGGCTCTTCACAGAGGAAACCTCTCTCTCAGGGTCTCAGTCGGCAAAGAGCTCTGAGATCTGGGTGTGATGGGTCTTTGTCTCCTTGGCTGGGCACACCCCTCAAAAGGAGGACTGGACACAACCAAGTCCTATTGGTTAGTTACCTCTAAGACTAACAAGCCGGATTGTAAATTCATGTTGATGACATTGGAATGTGGTACCAAATGGTGTGTGTATGTGTTGACTTAAAGACGTGGATCTAATGCAACAGAGAAAAAGGATAGAAAGAAAAGAGAGAACAAAGAGAATCTGTGGTTACAGCCAGAAACTTCAATACAAACTATAGGTATAATATAAAATGAAACAATCAATAATATGCATAGATCATGTGATAGCAAACAATGCTAAAGTGTGTATTTATAACCAAATCCTAACACTGCCCAGCCTCGAAACGGATTCAGACAGGTTTCTCAGATGTTAATGAACATGCTTTATTATACCTCAATGGTACAAAAATAACTTCGGTAGTAAAACACAATCTGGCACAAAATTGTAGCCCTCCTTTAAAATACATAAATAAAATCAAATAATGTTCTAAGTATTACCTTTTCTGTATTAGAAAATTCAGCTTCAACAAAATATCTCTTAATACCCTCTTAATGTAAGAAATGAAACAGTGTCACTACTGTACAAACTCAACAAACACTTCCGTCCCACTTGTTGTGACCGGGATGGTACGTGGAAATTTTTTTTTTGCAGTTTGTCTGTAAAGCAGCACTTTTGTTTCAGTATTTTGTCTCCTACGCTGGTTGCACTACTCCGTGTGTGTGTGTGTGTGAGTGTCTCGCTTGACCCTGCCACAAGGCAGTCCCTCGAGAATTACGTTGGGCAACAAACCACCGTAGTATTCTGCGCAAAGCGCCAGTTGATTTAAGCATACGATTATGGTCCCATGAAAAAAAGCATAAACCGGACATTTTCATGAATTTATAATCCCCCTCTGGATGCCCCAGACAGGATGTAAAAGTGGACATGTCAGGGCAAAAGAGGACATTTGGTCACCCTAGTGTCACACGCTGAGTGGATATGAACACCTCCCAGTTCAGAGGCCCCACAGACGGCTGCCCTCACGCCCGAAATTGGCCCAAAGGAAGCCACCTCGAGTGGGAAAACCTCCAAAGGGAAAAAGGGGCTCCGCCGCCAACCAGTGGAAGTCTGAAGGCAAAACAGAACCATTTAGCGCAGGGCTGTCAAACTCATTTTTGTTTAGGAGCAGCATACGGCTTAATCTGATCTCAAATTAAGTTCTTGTTAATTTTACTGACGTTTGAGTCCACCAACAAATCAAATGTAGTTACTGTTGACGCCTTCTTATTCTCTGGAAATGGGTCATTTTCTAACTAACCTGATGTGGGAGTCAGGGGGCTGGAGGAGGGTTCACCCTGGACAGGCGGCCGGCCCATCTGAGGAGCTCTTTGCAGCTGTCGGACGCTCAGGAACCGGCAGAAGACCTGAAAACTCTGCAAAGGCCTGCAACTATGCTTTAGCCTGGTCCTGGCTTCTGACAGGGGGGTCCAGCTGCTCATCCTGCTCTACCAGCAACATGAAATCCTCAAAAAATGCATCTTCTTCCTTGAAATCCTGGGTCTGGGTCTTCTTCTGGGTCTTAGCAGCTGGTTGTCTGGGCACTTCGCTCCAAAAAGCTCTTTCCAGCTGTCGGACACTCAGAAACCTGCAGCTGGCTGTGAATTCCCTTCAGGCCGGCTTTGGGATTTACAGCTCTGCGGGCTCCTGGATCTCTGCATGGTCCACAAGTGGAGTTAAACCTTTACAGCAGTGGGCTCCAGCTGAGGCCTGCAGCTCAGCTTCACCCTGGTCCTGGCTTCTGATGGCTCCTTATCCATTTCCTCCAACAGCCTCATGAAATCCTCAAAGGATGTTTCTTCTAAAACATCCTCCTGCTACTCCTGCAGCTCAGCTTCAGCCTGGTCCTGGCATCTGACGGGGGGCTTCAGGGGTTTGTCCTCCTCTAACAGCCTCAGAAACTCCTCAAAAGATGGTTCCTCTTTTTCTAAATCTTTGAAATCCTGCTTCAGACCCTGGATGTGAGCTGTGGATGCTCCACTGGTCTGAGTCCTCTGCTGGGTGTTCACAGATGAAGACAAAGAGGCCTCCTCCACCTCCTCCTCCTCCTCCTCTTCCTCCTCCTCCTCCAGTGATTTCTCTGAGCTGCTGAGCTGTGAAGAGCCTGTTGTGGCTTCACTGTTTGTGGTTACCAGGCTGAAAACATCTTCAGGCTGCTCCAAACTGTCAGACTCTGGAAACTAGCTCTCAGGGCGTCAAACTCCTCCGTCCTCACGGCGTTCAACCACAGGTTTCCCTGCTTGTTGGCGGGCTTGGACTCGTCCTGACCGTCTGGCACCAAACAGCAGATCTGTCCTTGGTCGTCCATGAAGTAAATGCCGCCCTTCCTCTGGGCGTCTGGGTTCTGCTCCGGCTGGTCCTGGCTGCCGGTTGGTCCCTTTGCTCTCAGAGCCTCAGAGTAGCTTCCTGAATGCTTCTCCAGCTCTTTTCTTAGTGCCTCCGCCTGGTCCACGTGGGCCCTGATGCTGTGGAAGGCCAGGAGCTGCTGGGAGCTGAGCTCCTCCTGCGTCTGGGGGGCCTTTCTCAACACAGCTCTGCAGGCTGTGAATCCCTCCATCAGCCGTCTGGTTTCTGCCACCAGCTGCCTCAGCTCCTCCTGGCGGGCTCTGATGTTCTCCTCCACTATTTTCTCCAGGGCGCTGTAGGTGGGAGTCTTGTTCAGTATTCCTCTCTCGGCCTCCTTCAGCTTGTCGACGTAGACGTCTGCCAGCGTCTCAGCAGTCTGGATCACGTCGGACAGTTTCCTCCTGTATTCTGACCTCAGGTCGCAGTTGTGTCTGAGGCTGAGACGCACCTTCTGGTTCAGTTCGCTTATCTCTTGTAGGTAATCGCAGGACTGGTCCTGCCCTGCCAGGAGCTTCTCTGGAGACTCCGTCTTTCTGGGCTTTTCCCACTGCGGCAGAAGTCGATCCTCTCCTTCAAGACGTGAAGGAACTCCTCATCCTCTTTGGTCTGGATCCTAAGTTCCTTCCCTATGTCTGTGAGCCTGATGAGCTCTTCGTAGAGGGCCGCTCTAGACCCCATTTGGCCCAAAGGACCAAATCTGCCGACGTCTGCCAGTGTCTCAGCCAGAGGCAGCTGGCCCATAGGGGGCGGCGCTTTGGCGCTGCCTTTCCTAGATGTGAAGGGGAAAAGTCATAATATATATGTGGTACACCTGTTACGACCCGTCTAGGCGAGGCCAGATCGCAACATAAAGGATCCATCCTCTTCCGATCCCCAAGCAACCAACACACAAAGTTGAACAGTTTATATGATATTTATTTTATAGAGATGTATGTTCAATTTACAGGAGTTGAGCGTATAACCTCAGAGTGAGCTATCGCCGAAAACAACAAACAAACAAAAACTATCTGAATATAACCCAACTTACCTAACCAAAAGCAAACAAACCAAATGACAAAAACTTACCTCCCTAACTAAAAAAAACAGGAGAAAACCAAGAAAACGGAAACGGCAGCTCACTCCTACAAACTCCGAAACGTTACAAACAGTGTGGTCGATAGGGATGGGCCGAGGATGGAACCCCAGGAAGTCCGCGTCACCAGCTTTTATCCGTCCTCTCCGGGAAGCGACCAATCGGACGTCCCCCCGTCGTCCTCCAAGCACCAATCAAATAAGAAAAAAACACCGGCACACTCAGGTACATAATTAGATCAAACGACCCCAGTCGTAACACACCACAAAATTAGGCATTTTTATATCAATCAATCAATCAATCAATCAATCAATGTTTATTTATATAGCACTTTACAACAACCGGAGCTGACCAAAGTGCTTTACAATATAAAAACAAATCAAACTATCGAAATATACAAAGACAAACACATTGGTGACAGAACCCAGTATACAGAGATTTTACTTGCAAAAAGTCATCCTGAACAAATACGTTTTAAGTTGAGCTTTGAACAGTTGCAGATCAGTAAATGACCGTAACTCAGTGGGCAGAGAGTTCCATAGTTTAGGACCTGCCACTGCAAAAGAGCGGCCACCCCACTGCTTGCACCTGGACCGTGGGACCTCCAGCAGATGTTGATCAGCAGACCGAAGTGCAGAGGTGTGACCAAGTCACTGTGTTGCAAGTCTCAAGTAAGTCTCAAGTCTCTGTCCTCAAGTCCGACTCAAGTCTCAAATAGGGCTGCAACGATTCGTCGACGTCGACAAAAATCGATAATAGAAAAAGTCGACAATGAATTCCATTGTCGACTATTGTCGCCAGACGTGTTTTTCCAACAGAGTGAGACATCTCACTTAATTACAATCTGCCCAGAGTCACCTGCACAACAGCGTCGCGGTTACAGAAATGGCGGCGTCCAACACGCGTACAAAAACTTCCAAAGTTTGGGAGCATTTTATCCTTGATACAACGAGTAAAAAAATTACGTGCAAGGTTTGCAAAACAGACCTTGCGTATCACGGCAGCACCTCGGTGATGCATGAGCATTTAAAAAGAAAGCA